GATGATTGAAGTACACCATACCGTGCTCTAAATCCTCACTAAACCCGCTTACATCCATATAGTCAGAGCCGGTCGCATCGTCATCGACCCACTTGTGTAGGGAGCGTGATATCTCCTGTCGTGCATATGAAAAGGATGGACGTAGATGAGGATCCTTATGCCAACAGCGTACCATTAAATTGTAGAACTCATTGCATCCTTCCTTAGGTAGCTCCGGCCTTAGTCCGTTCGGAACTCGTCGCATAACTTCCCTACCTGAATGATTGGCGTATGGTGTTGAACCTAAAAAAAACAGTGAGTTTATATACACCCCGAATGTTATTTTAAATTCAATGTATACCAAGTGTTGCGATTTCCCAAAGGACAATGCCAAAAGCCCACATGTCGGTCTCCCGTGTAAAAACATGATATTGTAATGCTTCCGGTGCCATCCAACGAATCGGCAAAGCTGGCCTGCGGCTAATTGTATCATGGCCTTGACCAAGGCCATGCGAATTATATTTCTTTTCTTTTAGGTCTTTTTTTAAGGTTGGACTGCCATCTGGACAATTTGAGTTGTTGTTGCTCCATTGGTTAACTGTGAAACGGCTTCGGAAATCGAACTTGATTTTTTTCGCATTACTATGAACTATTTCGTTGGCATGGCATTTCTCGGCCTCTTTTTTCTTATGCTCAGAATCTAAGTCAATTGACATTCCGAAATCGCAAATTTTACAAACTCCATTGTGATCTAGTAAAACATTTCGTGCTGCCAGGTCCCGATGAACGATCTAAAAATATAGAGACCCGTATAAAATGTACATACAACTACGAATATGTTATACCCTCTTTTCGGCGATATACTCCATGCCACAAGCAATATCCAGTGCGAAGCCAGCTAGCGTCCGTGGTGATAGAGGTGTTAGACTACGCCCTCCCGGTACCGATGCCGGTAGAATATTGGAAGCACTTCGCGCAGCCCGCAGTAATGAGAGCAACCTTCCCCTCATCGCGTACTCCATTATAAGCATGTGCGGTTCTATAAGTAAAAAAGTGTTTTTTTTTAAATACTCGTCTTGGATTTACTTCTTCAAAATGTGGAAAAACCCACCATTCTCTATGCATGCCCCAAGCAGTGTAACAACATTCAGATGCGAACCCAGCTTTCTCATAATGTCCGCTTCCTCCTTTAGGCTAGTCTGTGCGCTACATTTCCGAATGGTTTTAACTGCCACAATTCGTGTTGCACCAAAATGGC